GCTTTTTCTCAAGCTCAGTCCCTCCTTCCTCCTTTCCTCCCCCCTCCCTCCGTCTCTCTTCCTCTACCTTCTCTCTCTCTCCCTCCCTCTGCCTCTGCCAGTTCTGCCTGGGTGGGGGCGCGATCCCGCTTCCCTGGGAGAACATCCTGCTTTTCTTTCCCCACCCGCCACTCTTTCCCCTGCAGGCCACCCTCCAGGGGTGATAAACAGCTTCCGCCTAGGAAGAGGGGGTGCACAGGGAGTACCCCAAGCCCTGTGCCTTGATGCCGTCTGCAGCAAGCGCCTTGGCCCCGTGACATTCATGCCTCCAGCACTCAGCTGCCCCAGCTCCCAGCTCCAATTACCCGCTGGCTGGCTGCTTGGGGGGGAGGGGAATGTGCTGAGCCCAGCTTGGGGGTGCTCCTAAGCGCCTCATTCGTCCTTCTTGGCTATTTGGATCTCCTGCCTCCATCATCGTCATCATCATTATCATCATTATTATTATTATTTTATATGTTTGCTTTTTGAGACGCGAGGTCTCACTATGTAGCTGAGGCTGGCCTTAAACTCGTGGTGATCCTCTTGCCTCAGTTTCCAAAATGATGGGATTCTGAACATTCGCCACCGTACCCGGCTATCCAGCCTCCCATGGGGGCATTTGGGGCAGAGAGCCTGAAGTTCCCTGGGCTGCAGAGAAGAGGGCATGGGTGTGGCCACAGCCGTCAGTGGGCATGGGGGTTGGATGTAGCCAGGGAGGTGACTCCCCTAGACGTGGGCGCCCCCTTGATGCCTGGCTGGGGCTGGGGGAGATGCAGGTGGGTGAGGTTCTGGGGAGCCGGTGGGAAGAGGAGCTTTGATGTTAGTACTGGGCATCTGGCCCAAGGCAGGGCTGCTGTTTATGGCTTTCTGTCCCTGACCTGTAGGGGGAGAGTTTCCTGTTATATTCTGGGGGGGGGGGGGCAGGATCCTTTGTTTGAGTTGCCAGTCTTCCCTTTGGACACCCCCAAATCCCAAATTGCATTCCCTAGCCCCTCAGGTCTCTCAGCAGCTAGGAGATCAGACTCCTGGATCAAGACCCTTGTGCTCCAGGGCCAGGGATATATAGCTCAGCAGCCCAGTGCCTGCCTGGCAAGCACAAGGGCCTGAGTTCAATTCCTGGTGCCAGAAATAAAAGACCCTTGTGCTCCAAAATCCCATCAGCTGGTGCCCAGCAAAAGCCCACCGAGGGGGCTGCCTCCCCCTCCTCGCTCCCACGCCTGCCACGCTGTGCCCCAAGTCTGTGTGCACTCCTTTCCATCATACCTGCCAGACGGTACCTGCCTTCCCGCCTTCACGCCTGTCTTTCCTGGCACGGGGGTAACAGACAGTTGGGTGGGGCGGCCATGCCCAACCCTACCAGAGAGCAGAAGTGGGGAGAGGGCGGGGAGGAGACTGGGGGCCCAGCCCCAGGAGGTCTCTGCCCCTCCACAACACAGGGCATGGGTGGCTGCCGCAGCTTTGTGACAGCCGTAGACTCCCGGGGACTGCTGGGTTGGTGGCTGCCCATGGGCGCCCACGTTGGCGCAGGGGCAGCGTCTGCACACAGATGCCTGTTTGCCCATGCATGCCTGTGTGTGTCTGGGCTACGGTGGCTGCCCTGGCCCTGTGGAATGGCCCTTCTTGGCTCCCGGGGTGTGGAGTGGGGCACGGGTGCCAGGTGACTGGGAGTGGGTGGGCTGGGGAGGGATCTCCCCCCACCCTAGCAGCAGGCAGAGAGGGGAAGGGGAGAGGGAGGTGTGAACCTACCCACAGCACTATTAATAGCCCACATGCCAGGCCACCAAGAACCAGCTGTCTCCGTGGAAACCAGTCCCGCTCCCCTCCCCCAGCCTCCATGGGGTGGGACTTCGGCAGGGCATGAAGCACCCCCCCATCGCTCTTTGTTACCTTTCTCCCTTTGTCTCCCCTCCTGGGGCCTCTCCTTCCCCCTGTCCCCTGCCCACTTCTCCTTCCTTCCTTTTCCTCTGCTTGGTTGGCATCCCTAGTTCTGCCCCCATCCCTACCCCATCTCTTTGTTCTTTCCCTCCCCATCTTTCCCTCCGTCACCCCTTTTGCCCTGTCGTCCTCCCCCTCCAACCCCTCACGGCGGCCCTGTCTGGAGTTGACACGGAGGAGGGCTGGGCTTTCTTCAGAGCATTAAGGGCAAAGTTCAGCACCCCCAACGGTGGGCCCAAAGCCAAGTGCAGTATTAGGTACCGTCCTTGTGGCTGGATCCTGGGGGCAGAGACTGCCTGCTGGTGGCCCCAGGTTCTCGGGGGTGTCCCCTGGATCCGCAGGACTGCAGAGCGGGACAGACGGCAGTGTGAACCTGGCATGGTGCCCATGGATGCCACATCGTTCCTCGTCCCTGTCCCCCCCCATTGCAGAAGCACTTAAGCTTAATGAAATGCTTCCCCCTCTGCGGGCACCTTGCCCACGCTGCCACCCGGCGGCTCTGGCGGCGCTTATCTGACAGAGAGGGAGTGGGTGGCCAGGCCAGCAGACAGGTGGGTCTTACTGTCCCTGTCATCCAGATGAGTCTCAGAGCCCCAGAGCTCCGCACCCGCTGCCTCCTTAGGCCCAGGCCTCCCCCTGCCAGGGGTGTGCCAGAGGAGCTCAGGAATATTAAGCTAGACTCCCAGAGGAGGGGAGGGAGGCTGCCCTGTAGGGTGGGTGGCCCTGCCCCTCCCCCCCATGACACTGCCCGCAGGTAATGCAGGGGCGTGTGGTTGGCGCTGCCCCATGTGCTGAGCCCTCTGCCTGGGCTCTATGTTGCCTTAGAGGCCCCGATGTCCCTAGAGAGACTTCAAGGAGTCCTCAGTGGTTCTGGACTCTTGCTAGGTGCCAGGCAAGGGTGCCCCGGGCAATGAGGTCTGCACCTTGTTCCTCTGCCTACTGCCAGGGGCCTAGCCATGGCCTGGACTGCACCAACTGGCGCTAGAGCGCCGTTTAGCTCTGCACAGAGGTGGGACTGAGAAGGACCCTGCCCTCCCACCAGCGGGCACGTGCAAGCCTTTGGCAGTGTGCAGACGCATTTGGAGTTAAGGCTGGGCCAGGGAGAGGGAAGGGGAAACAAATAGGGTGGCTTAGGTTGGCACGGCCCCAGGTCTGCCCTGTAGCAACTGGTAGCAATGGGGGGGGGTCCTCCAAAGCTATGGCCTGGGGCGGGGAACTGCCTGTGCCATGCGGCTCCCGCCAGGGTTCCCTGCCCAGCCTGGCCCACAGCCGCTGATGCCCAAGCCTACCCACTCTGGCCCTGTTTGCTGCCCCCAGGGCCCACTCCCCAGGGGTGCCCCTCTCCTTGTGCCCACTCCTGGGCCTGCCTCCTCCCCTCCCAGGGGGCGCTTGGGCCTCTGGCTGGCGAGTGGATTTTTCCAGCTTCTGTAAACAAGTGGTGGCAGTGTGCCAGGCAGGCAGGAGACAGGCGGGGGCAGCACCGCAGCCAGGGTGTGCCAAGCACCGAGGCACAGCTTAGGGGGGCAGGGAGACACCCAGACCCAGAGAGAGAGAGAGAGAGAGAGAGAGAAAGAGTGAGCCCCAGACACAGACGGGTGACCAAGTGCAGCCTCCTGGGCCCAGAGAGAAGGAGGAACAGAGCAGCCTCTATTGTCCAGCCCAGCCCCGCTGCTCTCACCCCTGCCCCTCTCTGTCCTGGCTGTGAGCCTCAAGCCCCAGTGCCCAGGCCCGGGCAACCCCACCCACTCCTCCTGTCCCACCTCCACCCCTTAGGGCTGGCTACGCCATTATAAATTTATAACAGGAATTTCTCCATAAGCCAAGAAAAACTTGACCTACTTTCTTGACGGCTCCCTGGGCTAAGGCTCCCTGCTTAGCGCCCCCCCCCCAAGTCTCCTGTCCGGCCCCCAGTGCCCAGTTCTCGCCTGGAGGGGTGTTGGAGACAAAATGGGCCACTTTTCCCTGCTCCTCCCACACTCCCCACCCCGGGGGCTGCCCTATGCCCTGGCTTATCTCTGCCCCCTCCTCTTACCCTGGCCCCTTATCAGCTCCTAGGGGTAGGGCCGGGGGCCCTGGGCGAGGCCTCTGGTACAGGGCCCACGTGGTAAGGTTGAACGTGGGGACCGGCACCCTTTGTCTCCGCCCATCTGCCGCACCTGCCTGCGTGCCCGGAGACAAAGCGCAGGTCTGCAGGGCCTGAGAGCAGCGCGTTAGGGTGGCCGGCGTAGGCTGGCACTGTCCTGGCCTTGTAGCAGAACAAGGATGGTGCTGGCTTCAGGTGGCAGAAGGTTAGAGCGAGGCTGTGAGACAGGCGCAGTCCCTGTGCCACCTGCTTCCTACCTGTGTGAACCTAAGGGAAGGTTCATGCTTTCTGCTGCCCAGTGTCGGGTTCTGATGCCCACTTGGAAGGCTCACCTGCTCATTCGACGTCTTTTAGTTTCCTTTGCCCTTTCCCTTGCTGTCCTGGTGGCTGACAGCTCAGCTAAGCCAGCTGAGACGTCCGGTCCTCAAACTGGGCAGTGGCATTGGGGTCTCAGCCAGAGTCTGAGGATCAGTCCTGCCTTTCAGGGTCTCTCTCCATCAAGGTGCCAAGGTGGGCATTTACGATCCCTGTGGGCTACCCCTGTGCCCCCCCCAGCCTGCACAGAAACCCCTGTGCCCATCCCGGCATCTTCTCGTCTCTGGTCCGCTCTCGCCTCTGTCGTCCTGACGAACCTTAGGAAACTTGAGTGGGTGGTGGTCACAAGGGCCCACGTCTGACACTCACTGAGGGAAAGGCATTTGAACGTGGTTACCTGCGCCGCGGAGGGCCTCCTTCCTTCCCGCCAGCCCTCCCCGTGTGTGGGGCTTGGGATGTGCTCCTCAGTCTTGCCTGCTGCCCCTGCCCTCTAAGGTTATTCTTGTCCTCTCCCTGTGCTTGCCCTGTATGCCCATCTTGTTACAGCCCCCGGTGCTGCCGTCAGAGGAATTCTACCCACTGGCCCCATGGCACTTGCTCACTCTGGCCTCTGTCTTCTCTCCACAGGGATCTCCGTGCAGGACAAGACTCCGAAGAGACTCCCCAGCCCACAAACCCAGCCTGCCCCCAGCTCCCCCACCTGCCACCCCTTGGCCCCTCCCACCGCCCGCCCCCCTTGGGGCGCAGGGCATGGTGTGAAAGGCCGAGTGCTGGGCGGGTGCCATGGGTGCTGGGCCCTAAGGCCTGGGTGGTGGGGGGTGGGTGGCTTGTGGGCGTGCGGGGGGGCCGGCGTGCCTACCCCAGTCTCTTGGCGTGCTGGAGGGCATCCTGGATGGAATTGAAGTGAATGGAACAGAAGCCAAGCAAGGTGGAGTGTGGGTCAGACCCAGAGGAGAACAGGTAATATGTGGGTCAAGCACCCCGCTGTGCCAACTGTGGGCAGCAGGCACAGTCCCCTGCCTGGGCAGGAGAGAGCTGGGCTCCCTCAAACACCTCTGGCGATGGGTGTGAGGCCTGCAGGCAGGGGGACCTGTCCTGATGTCCCAGGGAACGAGGCGCCTGGATTGGGAGATGCCCTCTTGCAGGGGGCAGCAGCCACGCGGCCCCAGCCTTGGCCGTGCTTGGAGGGCTCGGTGCCTCTGTCCTCACGGTCGCTGTTGCTCTCACCTGAGCCTGTGTGATCTTGCCCTCCCCGCAGCCCGGCCCCATCTGACCACAGAGGGGCGCTGTCCACAGCTGTGGTGCACGGAAGTTGACATTTCAGGGCCCAGGCACCCGTAACCGTTGGTCACGGCCCACGCTTCCACTTGGAGTCTCGTGGGAGCCCCACAAGCTCTTCCTTGTGCAGGCTGCAGGGCGGCGCGGCTGTGGGGCTCCTCCCAGGAAATGGGAGCACAGCCCAACGTGAAGGCTTTGCTTCCACGTGTGTGAGGCCGCAGCCCTGCTCACCGGCTGGGCTCGGTCACTTCTGACCTGCCCTGTCCTTGAGCTGCCCAGAGGGTCTCTGTCTCTCCCATCAGCTCCAAGTGGCACAGAGCTCTGTCCCAGTTGGCGTGGTGTCCCAGGAGCTGGGTACAGCCTGTGCCTATGGCCAGGGAGAGGGTGGGGGTGGGGGTGCTCTGGGGAGCAGTGTGGCTCCCGGTTGCCAAGGAGATCGGAGTCGGAGCCAGGAGGCCGGAGGCCACGCCAAGGCCTGGGGCCCAAGCCTGGTTCCCCGAGGGGCAGAGGAAGTGATGGGGCTCCGCGGGTTGTGTACACAGGGCACTGGGGTAACGCCCCTCCCCCAAGCCCTCTGCCCAGTATAGAAGAAGACGTCTGGGCTGCCAGTGTAGAGCTGTCACTTGCATCCCCTGTACTTTCCTGCCCAGACGTCTCTGGGTCCGGGAGAGTCTGCCTTTAAAGGCGGGAAGGCAGGTTCCCAGTGCCCCGGACCGCGGCCCCTCCCCCACCGCTCCCCTCCCCCACCATGCGCCACCTCGTGGCTGTCCCTGGAACTGCGCCCAGAGGCCGGGAGGCGGGTAGTTGTGGAAGAGGACAGCTCCGCGGGGCCTAGGTGGGCGAGGTGCCCTGCGCGCGCCCTCCGGAAGGCGGGAGGGAGGCTGACCCTGCAGCCTCCTGGGAACCAGAGGAGGGCGATCCCCAGGGGCGTGGAGCACAGGGCTGTCTGCGACTGTGACCCTGGCCAAGGTCACTGTGTCAGTGTGTTGGGAGCTGCATCCGGCTCCAAGAGGAGGGACCCTGGGACATGCCACGCGCAGGGTGGGTGTGGAAGGTTATACAATCCTTGCATGCGTGCAGAGGGCTTATGTAACCTGCGTGTGCTGAGGTTATGTAACATGTATGTGCAGAACCTGGCAACATGTATGTGCCGGGACTGCGGGTGGCTCATAATACCCTGCATGGAGGGGCTCAGGGTCCTTGTCCTGGCGCCGACTCCAGTGCACGGTGTCACCAGGCACAAGTGCACTTTGGTTTGCGGCTCTGCTAAAGGAAGGCTGTGAGCGGCGGGATGATCCAGTATTTTCCATGGCTATGGGTTATTTAGCATGTGGGCGTGGCCTGGAAAACACCAACACGTTCACGCTGGGGGAGGGGAGATCGCTGGGTGCCTGTGCGCGGGCTTGTAACACACGGCCTATCCTGGGGGTCATGTATCACACTCGAGTGCCGAGAAGTTGCAGAGATATAGATCCCGGGACTTATTACCATACTTGGGTTTATACCGGAGCCTGCGTCGTTATTCATGCGTGGGTGTGTGTTGCATATATGCGTGTGTATTCTAAAGGTTGCACAGCTTGGAGAATATTCTGAGGGTTCTGTCGGCATATTTATCATCTATGAAGTCTTAAATATGTGGCTGTGCTGTGGGTTGCGGGTGCTTGAAGTCTGCAGTGTGTATGTGTGTGTGCAGACCATAGAGCAATGTGCGTGTGTGTGTGTGTGTGTGTGTGTGTGTGTGGTGGGGCCCTAGGACCTGCTTTGGCCCAGCCAAGCCCCTTATCTTTCCCTGCAGCTACCAGATAGCCAACCCTTTCTAAGCTTTGTCAGCTGCCGTGGGGTGGGAGGTAGACCGAGGACAGAAGGTGGAGGTGCGGGGCCTGGGGGACTTCATGAGCCTCTTGGGTAAAAAGGGGGTTCCCCCGGAATGCTCTGAGACTCTGCCCACTTCGTCCCTGTCCAGTGCCAGGTCACCAGATGGAAAGCGAAAAAGAAAGAACGGCCAATGTTCCCTGAAAACCAGCATGTCAGGTGAGCTGGCTCCCTGCACCCTGCACGCCACGCCTCTTTCGGTCCTGGGCTCGGTCCAGCACTCCTGGGTCCTCAGGGAGAGCTCCCAGAGGGTGAGGGAGGTCGTCTGGGGTGAGGAGCCGTCTTGTGGGACGTGCCCCCGCCTTTAGGAGCGCAGAGGTCCTTCTCCTATAGCCACGTCCCCGCAGGCCCCACCAGAATCAGGGCCTCGGCTGGAGAATTTGGGCCTGGATCCTCCTGAGAGCAGCTGCTGCAATCTGTGTTGCTCTCCTCACCGCACTCCTCCCCTTAACGTGGCCGGGTACAGTGCTACAGGCCTGTAGTCCCAGTTAGGGACTAGGAGGCTGAGGCAGGGGGAATCATGTCAGCGCAGGAGTTTGAGGCCAGCCTGGGCAACAGAATGAGACCCTGTCTCCAAACTGGAAAACGAAATGAGCAGGGGATATAGCTTAGCGGTAAGAGCGTCTGCCTCGCATGCGTAAGCCCTGAGTTTGATTCTCAGCACCGCAAAAATGAAGAGAAGAGAGGGAGGGAGAGAGAAAGAGAAGGCTTGAATGGGCAGTCTCCACAGGTCCACCTTTTACCTGGCACGGAACCCTTCAGGGAGGCTGGGCTACGAAAGGAAAGGTTGGGGCTCCACACGCCATGCCCACTGTCTCCTCCCTTTCCTCCTCCAGGGTATATCCCTAGCTACCTGGACAAAGACGAGCAGTGTGTCGTGTGTGGGGACAAGGCCACCGGTTATCACTACCGCTGTATCACTTGTGAGGGGTGCAAGGTACGGCCACCCCGCCCTGCCTGCTCCCCTCACTCCCCGTCCCTCACTCTCCCTGTTGCGTCATCAGCTTTCTTCCCTTGTGCATACATGCATGCATTCATTCATTCCTACTCCCCGCACTACCACTCACAGGTGGATTTGCCAACCCTCTCGGAGCCTTAGTTTCTTCATCTGTAAAATGGGGATAATCATACTACCTGTCTTATATACTTTTTGGCAGAAGTCAAAAATTTACGTGAAATGTTTAAGATGTGCCAGGCACATGAGAAGAACTTGATAAATGTCCACTGTTAGGCAGCCAGGCGGTGTATTAGGAGTGAAAGGTGCAACCGGCCACACGCCTGTAACCACAGCACTTGGGAGGGTGAGGTAGGAGGATCGCCACGACTTCAAGGCCAGTCTGGGTTCAAAGCTAGGCTGGACTACATACCAAGGCCTTGTCTCAAACAGGCAAACAAAAATCCTATCTTTACTTAGTGAATTTTCTTTTTTCGTTTTTCTTTTTTTTTTTCTTGTGGTACCAGGAATCAAACTCAAGACCTTAAGCTTGCCAGGCAGGCGCTTATGCCACTGAGCTATATCCCCGGCCCCTTAGTGAATTTCCAATAAATCTTAACTCTTCGTACTGCTGCCAGTCTTGACTTTTGAGGGTCATCCTTGAAAGCCAAGACTAATCCAGATACACAGCATTGAAAATTTCTGTTTTTACTTCAAGGTCCTAGAGTTTATCCGCAATGTCTTTTTTTTTTTTTTTTGGTACCGGAAATTGAGCTCAGGACCTTGCGCTTGCCAGGCAGGCGCTGTGCTGCGGAGCTCTATCCCCAGCCCCTTTTCTTGACCTCTGATCCCCTTATTTCATAAGCTCTACCTGCATGAGCACCACGCAGTATACTGTAGATGAAAATGGTTTTGAGGTTGGTGTTGGGTTTAGACTCATTTAACCCAAATGAGAACTCCAGGTGGGAAATAAGGTAGGAGTTGGGCTTCCAAAGCTGCTGTCCCTTCAAGACTTGAAGCACCTCCTGCCACCCCAGCCCCAATGCCCCTGATGACCCCACCCTCGGGGTTGGGGGAGTGCGTTCCTCCTGTTCTTTACTTCCCTGGCTCCTGCATCGAAGGAGGGCACCTCCCTCACCCCTTCCCCTCCTCACCACCCCTGTGAACTTCGGGATTGCTTCCGCAAGGGAAGGCAGGATAAGAGCCTGCGCCATCTCCTCCATCCCAGGGCTTCTTTCGCCGTACGATCCAGAAGAACCTCCATCCCACCTATTCCTGCAAATATGACAGCTGCTGTGTCATCGACAAAATCACCCGCAACCAGTGCCAGCTGTGCCGCTTCAAGAAGTGCATCGCTGTGGGCATGGCCATGGACCGTAAGGGGCCCCGGCCCAGGGAGGCGGGCAGCTCAGGGCTGGCAGCTCCCTTCCAGAGCGCCCTTGGGGTGGAGTGAGGGTCCAGTTCAACTCAGGCTGGTGGCAGAGTGGCCAAGGTCTTTGTCCCTCCTGCCTCGTTGCCAGGGGGCAGGAAACAGGATTCCTCTATAGGCCTGCCAGGGCCTCAGTGCCCACCGCCTTCCGCATCTGAGGGCCACCCTCTAAGTGTTCCCCGCCACAGAATGGGTACTCAGTTCTGGGTGAAGGCTAGGGATCTGCTGGCAGATCATCTAGTAACCTGTCACTGACCCATGGGGACATGGGATTCCTCCAGGGTAGCCCAGTCGGAGTTGACGCGGCCTCAGTGGTTGATCGTGGTCTGGGTCATACCCCACACGTGGGAAGACTCGGCCTCCCTGGCCCTCCCTGGCCCTGGGTTTCCCCACCCAGGAAGTGCGCTGTGGAGCGGGAGGGAGTGTGCCATGCAAGGGGCCTCGTGTCTGTCTGCCCACAGTGGTTCTCGATGACTCAAAGCGTGTGGCCAAGCGCAAGCTGATCGAGCAGAACCGGGAGCGGCGGCGCAAGGAGGAGATGATCCGGTCCCTGCAGCAGCGGCCGGAGCCCACTCCTGAGGAGTGGGACCTGATCCACGTGGCCACGGAGGCCCATCGCAGCACCAATGCCCAGGGCAGCCACTGGAAGCAGAGGCGGAAATTCCTGGTGAGGACACAGGCGGGGAACCTGCGGGGGGAGCGGGCTGAGCGTGACCCAGAGCTGATCCTCTCACATGCGCCTTGGTGGCCCGGACTTGTACACCTGGATGTGTGGCATTTCCTGTCTGCGTCCTCACAAGGCTCCCAGGAGGGCAGGGCCTTGCCTGCCTCCTTGAATTCCATCGCAGGGGTGACCTCTCCGCGTTTTCCTGCCCACGTGACTGGGAGGGGACCTCCAGGACTCAGTCATGTAACAGCATTTCTGAGCACCTGCTGGGTCTCAGGCATTGTGTTAGGCCCTGGCAAAACCAGCTGCCAAGTGGATGATCAGTTTGGAAGGAGACGGACATTTGGAGCCTGGTTCCTGGCAGCGGAGCCAGGGGGTGGAACGTGTGCTGTTTAATGTGCTCTGAAGCCCGGCAGATGGGTTTGTGCAGAGCTGGTGGTGGGGCTTTAGCTTACTCCTTAGCTGTACCAGGGCTCGGTTTCCTGCTTTGTGAAATGGTGACGTTTGCTCTTACCGAGCGAGTGTGATGAGGGATCACTGAGGTATATAGAACGCGTGTCCTGATGCCTGGCCACAGGTTTCCATCCTTAGAGCTGATTATTATCATTATCATGATCATTATTTTTTGGTACTGAGGATTAAATCCAGGCCCTTTGAGCTACATCATCAGCCTTTTATATAAATATATATA